CTGGTTTTAATGTAAAAGCTCTGGATCAAAGTTAAACAGAATAAATGCCATATGTCTTATCGTAATCTATAAAAGTGATTTTACTTATAGTTGCAAAAAAAGCTTCACTCTGAACAATTCATTCGCTGCATGAGTCTGTTTGTTCCAGTGTCCGCTCCGAGCCTGGGACAGTCGATGGCAGTAAGTGGCTTCAGGACAACAGCCAGCACTTTCAAGTTTATACAGTCTGGCGAAGATGTACTCGCCAGGCAGGAAGTGTTTTGGAAACTGTAATACCTCACAGACACAGGGCTCACAAATCACACACTCCAGACACAGAATGATTGATTGAACACAACTCGACAGCAAGTGAACCTTCACAGATTTGTTGAAAGAAGTAACGGCGTGTCACAAATACTGACTTTATATGAGAGTTTTACTGTTGTGAAGATTCTTAAACAACAAGTGACATAAGAACTATCTATGTAACATAGTTAGTTTGCAGCTTATGTATAAAGAGTAAACCCCCTTAAGTGTGACAGTGAAGTATGAATCCACCACCTTTGGCTTTCATTGACTTATTTGAGTTCCTCCACAGAAGAATGGCTGTGATGTTCAGTCCAAACTGTCCAAACCCAAACATGTGAAAAGTGAATCATGTGAAAGTTTCATGATCTTTGGTCGTTTAAATGTTTCTGATAAAAGTCGTCATGAGCTCTGAATCAGTTTGATGAACCGAATTCTGCAGAAGAGAAATTTAATTTGATTAAATTCTTGGTTTATGTCTTCCAGTTGATTGCTGTTTCCAATCATAATTTCAAGCAGGTAACGTGATATGGTTGCTAGATGGATTTTGGAAGCAGGTCTTGTGAAAACTCTTTCTCCTTTTCTGTTTCTTCTGCAGTACAGATGTTGGTTCTGTGTAGTGTAGCATGAAATCCTCGACCTAATGAATTATATGCAACGGGGAAATGTGATTTTAGCTTTAGGCTGTTGAATGATCTTTGTACGTTTCAGCTTTCATTCATTAACATTTGACATGACAGGAAAAAACAAAAGCATTGAATATTTTTAAGCTGCGAATCCTGAACTGTTTCAAACAAACAGAGCTCCTCAAGATTAACACTAAAGGAAACATTGAATCCAAAACAAAAACCCTACACAACTACTACTACTACTACTACTACTACTACTACTATTACTACTACTACTACTACTACTACTACTATTACTACTACTACTACTACTACTAATAATAATAATAGTATTAATACAGAATGTAGAGTAAATGGAATGCATATCTTTATTAATCATAAGCCAGAGCAGAGAACATTATACCAAAAATAATCAATTCATCTCCAAAACGTCAATTCATTTATAAAACAGTGTGTGTGTCCGCGCGCGTGTATGCATGTGTTTGTGTGCATGCTGTTAGAGCCTTTATTCTGTGGACGTTTGTGTTTATGCTCATTTTTAACAACATTAATTATATAGTTAATTACACAAACATCTATATCAACACAACACAAACTGGTAGTTGTTGATCATATGTGTTGTCCTGGTTCATGGACTGATAGAAACATTCTGTGTTTCAGCTCACAGATCTGGATGTAAAGTGAACAAGGTGAATGTTTATATAAATCTCATGTGGAATTAAAGAAGACTTTACATTGTGTTCCGTCTGGTCGACAGATTATCAACTCCCCGGAGTGTGATTCACGCAGCAGACACTTTGCTCTTTGCTCTGCAGAGCTGCAGCTGTACCCAGGGTTCCGCTGAAGAGGTCGCGCAAGGACTTCTGAAGGAGTACAGCCTGTGCGTCAGTGAGTGGAGAGCTGTGTGTGTGTCTGTGTGTGTGTGCGTGTGCGTGTTTCATTCAATGAAACGCAACACCCCGCTCCTCTGTCTGAAGCCTCTTCGGAAACAGGTTTGATTATATTTAAAAGCTTGACCCGGGAGAGAAACCCAAACAACTGTCTGTTCTAATATTAGCTGTGCGGCTGCGGACTACTATGAATTCTATTATTGTCTGGACTGGGATATATTCCCAAAAGGCAACTCTCATCAAAAGATTTACACTTTTGTCTGCAGTTGGTGGAAAAAATATCAGTTACCATCAAGCAGTATACTCTTAATTTGAAGGTATTATGATGGCATGCATGGACAGGATGTTGGCTGTGGGCCTGTTTTATTATACAGTAATAAAGTTTTTAATGCATAAAAAGCTATTATCATTACTATTATTAATATAATTAATGTTATTATTAATATTTTCATTAATAGTATCATTATTATTGCTTTAAAAGCACATGTAGAGGTCGTGCGTAAAAACGAACCGTGCGCCTGTTGAGAAAACTAAAAGGATTAAAGTTAATAACAGCATTGTGCATTAAAAACTAAATTCACATCCACCGGCAGCTTTTATCTGCTCTGCACAGTTCCACTAGTTTCACAGCAGAGCCACAGACACTCGTGGCGTTTTTATTACAACACCAGAGCTGTTTCCATGTTCTTTAATTGTTGTGGCAGGAGAAAGTTGCCTGTAACCATGTCACCTGATTGGGATTGAAAGAACTTTGGTAAGAAAAAAAAAAAAAATCTCCCCACCCCCACAGAAGAGGAGACCGCCCACCAGAGACAGTCAACCCGAGACCCCTTATAGATTTAAAAAGAGAGGCTGCATTCTCAGACTGACACTTATTCAACACTGCCACCTTAAGCAGATTACTTTTGCGCTGCCCGTGTCAAATACGTGCTTCACTTTGCCTCTCCATCATGTTTAGGATGCTGAAACACCACCTCCACCCGGGCATTTTTCTCTTCTTCATATGGCTTTGTCACCTCATGGAACATCAAAAAGTTCAAGGTAAGGATCTTCCTCATCCGTTTTTTTTTTTTTCATTTTTATTCTCTCCGTTTTTTGGAAAAAGAAAAAAAAAACTTCCACTGCTGTCAGCCGCAGGAAAACGTGCACCAGTGCCGGATAATTGCTGCAGCCGACAAACTTTTCAGAGTGGGTTCGCTCTTCACCCGCTGATAAAAGTCTCCACATCAGACAGTGCGTGCGTAAAGTGTCCGCAAAACAGGTGCCATATGGGACACTTCAAAGTGAGACTGTACGGCAAGTTTTTGCAGCCCTCTCCAGGGGCACGCACGGCGCTGGACGCAGCCTCAGCTTCTCTCAATATCTCAACATGTTCTCATACTTTTTCTCTCAGAATTCAATGTCTGTGCGTGTTTTCGCCAAACCTGTAACAAACTTGAAAAATGTGACTTCATGGGCGTGTTATTTGTATATTTCCCGCATCCAGCATTCATGCGTAAAATTGCTTTTATTGGCAATAGTTTTATTTTACTATGACAAAAATTATAAAACTGGAAACTTTTACACGCATCACTCTTTCTTGAGAGGTTCTAGTTGAGATAGATACAAATGGAAATGTGTCTTCAGTTTAGGAAACACACCATGAACACTTACTGTCATGTGTGTCTGTGTCGGTTTACACACCCTGCTGCTGTCTGGGTCGAATTATATTCCTGTGTCATTGATTTAAGATTCGTTTTAGTTTGAATGTGTTTAAAATGAACTTGGTACTGCTTTGTTAATAAACTAAAGAGGCGTGTTGGGTAAATGTCTGGGATATCGCCCTGAGGCGGCGGAGACAGTGGAGTCTTGCTACCTTAAGACGGTGGTTTCCTCTCTGAGGGAGACTTAACACTGTCTGTACGCTGCTCTCTGTCCAGTGATAACAAGGAGTCTGGGAATAAAGCACAACCTCCCTCCTAAGATTCTTTTCACTTTTTGGGGTTTGTGGCTGCATGGCATGGGCTGTCAGTCACAGACTGGATAGTGTTAACAGTCTCGCAAAAAAAAAAATCAGACAAAATAGTGCTGGGTGGGAGAAAGGGGAGGGAGCGTCTCGGATAATACGGGCTGCTTGTGTGTCTGGTGCGTCTGGTCCAGCGCTTTGAGGCGTTCAACATGCAACAATCGAGGTTTTCTTATGTTTTTTCTGTTTTCAGCCGGGAACTGCTGGTTGCAGCAGGGGAAGAACGGGAGGTGCCAGGTGCTGTACATGCCCGGTATGAGCAGGGAGGAGTGCTGCCGGAGCGGAAGACTGGGGACGTCCTGGACCGAGGAGGACGTCCCTAACAGCACGCTCTTTAGGTGGATGATCTTCAATGGCGGAGCCCCCAATTGCATACCTTGCAAAGGTGGAGGTGCACTCATTTTCCTTCGTTTTTTTCATAACATACATGCTCGATCATTTTCTCTCATGAACCATATGGTGATGCTCTGATTTGCGCATGCCAAAGTGCATAAAATGCCCATTTTGCAATGCGTAATTTCACGCACAAGGTCAAAATCCTCGCCAGCGTCACTTACCAGAGACCTCTTTATTTTTCAGAAACCTGCGATAATGTTGACTGTGGGCCGGGAAAGAGGTGCAAGATGAACAGAAGAAGCAAGCCGCGCTGCGTGTGCGCGCCAGACTGCTCCAACATCACCTGGAAAGGACCGGTCTGCGGCTCAGATGGAAAGACCTACAAAGACGAATGCGCACTGCTGAAGGCTAAATGCAAAGGCCACCCTGACCTGGACGTGCAGTACCAGGGAAAGTGCAAGAGTGAGTAAACATTACATTTAAACCTGCCAATTTATGAGATTACGCGTCGGCATTCGTGCATTTCGTGCCAGTTTTTAACAAAATCTTTAAAATTCCTTTGTCTGGACAGAAACGTGCCGTGACGTCTTGTGCCCCGGCAGCTCCACGTGCGTCGTGGACCAGACAAATAATGCATATTGTGTGACGTGTAATCGGATTTGCCCCGAGGTGACGTCGCCTGATCAGTACCTGTGTGGAAACGACGGGATCATCTATGCCAGCGCGTGTCACCTGAGAAGAGCTACCTGTCTCCTGGGCAGATCTATCGGAGTGGCGTATGAGGGCAAATGCATCAGTAAGTCTGCAGACATAAGAGAAGAGATACTGAGCGAGACTTTGCTCCCTGAAAGCGCCTCCAGTCACTGACTTTGAATATTGTTTGAGTGCATGTTCTTCCTGGCCAGCTCTGCACTTTCTCACTGCTCATTTTTGCCAACATTCCACTGAGGAGGGGGTCTTAGAGAGAGAGAGAGAGAGAGAGAAAGAGGGAGGGAGTTAGTTTTGTATTGCTTGTGTTTGCTCAAGAAATGATAGACATCTTATTATTTCCTGATGTTGGCAGCACTATCCCATATGGGAGAGAGGAAAGAAGAGGAGGGGGGAGAAAGAGAGCAAAACAGGGGAGTGCTGGGGGCCATGAAGACATGCTTCAAGTTAATATTTGAGTCAGATGGACTCTTATCCAGAAAGCAGTCAATATAAGTCATGTAGACTTAAAAATGCTAATTAAAACATGACTTTTTGTTGCCTGCCACAAGACATAAGCCTATAAAATAGGATTTGTTTTTTATTCCTTGCTTAGCTCTCCAATACTCAACAGTCATCTGATCCTGCTTGAAAAGCGTTCGTGATAATCCATCTAATCAAAGATTTCCCCTGTGCTGATCTCTTCCTCCCTCTCTGCAGAGGCTAAGTCGTGTGAGGACATCCAGTGCAGCGCAGGGAAAAAGTGTCTGTGGGATGCTCGAATGAGCCGAGGCCGCTGCTCACTGTGCGATGAGACCTGTCCGGAGAGCAGGACGGATGAGGCGGTGTGTGCCAGCGACAACACCACATATCCCAGTGAATGTGCCATGAAGCAAGCTGCTTGCTCTATGGGTGTGCTGCTTGAGGTCAAGCACTCTGGATCTTGCAACTGTAAGTAAATAACAAAAGCAAAATATGAAAAAGAATCAATCAAAACACCCCCCCCCCTCCAAGCAAAAGACAATATTCCATGTTGCTTTCCCAACAAAAAACCTCCCCTGAAAGTGCCCCCCCCCCCACCCTGACTCTCCCCCAACTCCCACACCAGCCACACCACCACCAAGCACAGCTTAAGCAAGCAGAACGGACTTGGGAATGGAAGAACTTGCATGACATTGTCTCTGTCGCTGGCTTTTGTTCTTGTGTTCTTGTTAGTTTTTTTGATTTCACTTTTTATTTTTTAAATTGTTCTGCAAATCAAAATCAGAGAAAGGTTAATGAAACCAACACATTTCTATATCAGCAGCAGACTCTGAACAAGAGTCTGGGGAAAAAGCTAACATCATTTAAACTAACTTGAAAAAATAAAGGAGACTAGCTTGGTTTGCAGTGGAACAATCTTGATATTTAAAACTAGTCGTGTTTACGGCCATGCTAGTGAACTGCAGGAGCAGGTTGCCTTAAATCCCATGCAGTTTTATTTTTTAATCAGAATTATTTTTTATGATAGTGGTCATATCTTTACAGCTTGTAAATTCCATGGTCACATTGCTTATTTCATAGTAATGGTGCATTTTTTTGTTTTTGTAATGTTTTTTTTCTTTCTTTTTGTTGCTTTTGGCTGTAATCAATCAATTCAAAATGCACTGCCTCGTGATATACACCACACTGCCAACATGTCCATGAGAACAGAATACTTTATAATATACTAATATGATGTGCATAAGGTGATTGTAACATTGGTGCCATGTTAGCGATAATGTTATCCACGTAGGCTACCTATCTACAGACCAGCCCGAGCCAGTCATGCGCTCACAGCTCTGGCAGTAAACCATCAAATTGAACAATAGCCTCAAGGAAGTATCAAATTTACATTCCAAGTTGCTATGTAGAAGAATGTCTCCGTGTTAGTTTCTCTCTCCTGACTGAGTACCTTACTGTGATGTGCCTAAGGTATGCGATGGAATCCAAGGGACCAACTTTATGATCACCTCATGAGCTAAATATATAAATGTGATACTTTACAGTGTGCAGGATAAGCATAAGAAGCTCGTAGAACCATGCTCTCTTATTTCTCGTCTCTTCATCGTAGGAGGAGTGTTTATCGACTAACTTTTATTGTCTGTGCTGTTTCCAGTGAATGTGTTGTCTACCAGAATATGTATCAGAAATTACAAATCCGTTTGGATTGACGAGGGACTGCCTGTTTTATTTTTTCTTTTATTTTTTTGTATTGTCACTCTCGCTCTTGCTTGTGTGCTTTTTCCTTTTTTTTTTGCGTTTCCGATGTAAATCTCCTCTGTGAAAAGAAAAGAAAATACCTCAGAACTGTGTTGATGATCTCTGACCTGCTTGCTAAGTCCAGGCTGTGACACAGAGTCCTCCCTCCCTGGACGTTTGAGCCAGAAGCTAAAATAATAACCGGAGCAAAGAAACTAGCAAATCCAAGAACACAAGAGCACTTTTCTGTGTTACGTGTGTCTGCTTTCAGGAGTCTGCCCATAAGAGACCCGAGCCCCCCCCCCCCCCAATACCCGCCAGGCACCCCCATCCCTCACCCACCAAACCCCCAACCTCCCATCCACCCCTCTTTTCCATCATCCCATTTTTTTCTCTTGTTACAGCCCTGACTTGCTAGATTATGTAAATGGAAGCTGCATAATTGGGGATGCCACAGTAATTGTCAATGCCAAGTCACACAGACCCTTCCTCATACACACACACACACATACACAAACATGCACACAAAAAACAAAATGGAGGCTGTGTGCCAGTGGCTTTGCTGTGAGATTTTATTTTAGTACGTTCAGTGATATTCTGCGCTGTTGTGGTCCATATTCATACAACAGCTACCATATATTCTCCCATATAGCCATCACAGAAGACCAGGAGGAGGATGAGGAAGATGAGGACTCAGACTACATGGCCTATGTCCATTTATCTTCTATACTGGATGGATAGGCTCCCATCATTAGGGGAACAGTCCTGGGGCAAGGAATCATGTCCATACTGTACATTATGTGTATGCTTATTTATTTTTTAAAGAAAAAGGAAGTATACATATAGTTCAGTCTGCTAGATGTTTATTTATACTTTTTTTGTGTTTTATAATTTATACATTTACAATGTCAGGCTTACTATCTACCATGATATATTGTGTTACCACTCATTTCCCCCCTTTTTTGTTGTTGTCCCTTTTACTTTCTTTTTTTATCATGAAGAAATATATTTGTCCAAAGAAAAGCAGTGTTATTTATTTGTCATGTTACCGTGTAAGTATAAGTCCTCTTCAAGCTGTAAATTGCATTCCCTGAGCTGTACAAATCTGCTTGTTTCTGTCAAATCTCTATCACAGATGTTTATGTCACACATACGTAAATGCATGTTTAGGCTGTGTGTTTATTTATTGGGAATATATCAATCATTTTATGTACATAACGTGTTTCTGGTTTGTTTACAACTCATAATAACTGACCAAAGGGATTCTCTCAATGGTTTAGCAAAAGAGCATTGTAAAAGGCGCAACACAGCAGTGATGGAATGGAAGAGAAAAAAGAGCCATTTGTTTTTCTTTTCTTCTTTTTTTTGGTTGGTTATTCCTCAGTTTCAGCCCTTTAGATTTGTTTCCACGCGGAGACGACACCTCTAGAAATTATTCAATAGCATTTATTTTATCTCACCAGCTTAGAGCAGAGGTAAGTGTTGGATGATACTTGATTATTTTGGAAATAATGTGCCATTAACATTTGTGTGCTGTCTTTTTGCCAATGTGCTCCATATTGCTCTCGCAGAGCTCAGATAGGACTAATGTACTGCAGTACTCAACACTATATCAGACTTCATCGCTTTGTTTCTTTTTCTTTCATTCTTTTTTTTTTCTCAGAATGCATTTTATTTCAAACATCACAAGAGAAATACAAAATTCTGTTATGAATATATAGTTTTGTATTTTTTATGTAAATGTCATATGTACATACAAAGTTTGATGGTATTTGTACAGATATGAAGAGTGAAACAATAAAAGTTTTTTTCCTTATACGTTTTTCTGACTCTGTAGTATTATTTAATTTTTAAGAATAAGTTGGACCAAAATAAAACAAATCAGTTCATACTTTGGAGTCTAGTACGTCACTGGGTTTATACGGTTGCAGATTTTTACATGGTTCTTTGGATCAGCCATAAACATCTTCTGAAATTATACCAACTTTATGGTATGTATAGGTATGGCTGCAGAAAATGACATATACCACAATAAAGAATTTGAGCTTCAATTGAACACTGAAGACAATGTCCCATTACTGTAATGTTTAGTACAGCATTTAAAAGCATATTAGCCCTACAATAATTGGATAAACTGCTGGGAATTTATATTCATACTATATATGATGTTTAAATACATGCAATATATATTCAACATTTTACCGTAACATCAGATGGTAGAATTTCTAATGTCAATTATATTCATTAAAACCAATTTAGACAGCAAAATAGGGGAGTTTGTAGAGTGGCTGAGAGAGCTCAACACACTGCGAATTAAGAAAACACATACAAATACAGAAGCTGCAAAGTTTTGTAACGTTCCATCACCACTGACGAGTAACAGACTTCAGTAACTTTACAAAGAAAGAACATCTACCGTTGTCATTTTCGCAATTTGCAGCATGTTTCTGTATTTGCATGTGTTGTGACTTTTTTGCAGCCAGTGTGTTGTCAAATTGATGAAGTAGTTTCTTAATTCATACAAATTTCTACTATTAACACGTGTTTTCTTAATGTGCAGCAGGTTGAGCTCTCCGGGCCGTAAATTTGTCTAGTTTAAGTTTCATAAACTTTCAGGCCCGGCTTATTAAGTCAAGTGATCCAAACTGAAGTTTAATGTCCATGCAACACTTTGATGATTGTGTCAAGAGAAGAAAAAAATCAATTTCTGGATTACATAAGTGAACTCCTGCTGGACTTCTCTCTGTCAACACCCTGATCATCGTTACCTGTGATATATGAAATCAACTTGAGAGGTGTGAACAGACGCTGGCTGTGTCCGGACATGTCTGCCTGCATGTGGCATGTCCACTGTAAAGTAATATCTGGCATCTGTCCTCCATGTCTCCTCCATGTCTCCTCCAGCTGCCGCCGCCGCCGCTCGCACGCTTTGTCCCTCCGCGCTCGCCGTACGTCGAGTGTTGACAACAGTCATGGCGTCCTCAATGTCACTGCTCGGCTTGGGACGTTTAACTGTGACCAACACCGCTTCTAGAGTGTTGCTGAGCCCCATCAGGTAATTCAGTGTTGATTGTCTACTAGTTTTATGGACACGTGTGTTACTCTCACTCATTCATTGCGGGATATTTACCTGTAAGTCGGCTAAAGGCGATGCTAGCAGGCCTAGCATGTCAAAGGCTAACCTGTGGCTGTAAGCTAACCAGCGTTGGAGCATAAAGCGCTGGAATAAAACATGTTTATAAAGTGTCTGCTCTTTATTTGGCGCAATGTGGATGTTTAAACACCTACACACATTCTTCCTCGCTCATTGAAAGTGACTTGGGTGTTAGCTAACCTCAGTGTTACTCTGTGTCCTTATAGCTAGCCGGCTAATTAGCTAACACCAGGTCTAACTTGTCTGCATTATATTTGATTGTAATATGTTGCATGACAGTCTTGACCTGTTTCCTGTGCTTCTCCAAAACCTTTACCCACAACAATTAACCACCAAGGCTAATTTGATACTAGCCTATGTTAGACACATTGCTGCCAGACAAATATTGATGTTATCTAATAAATAGTTAGTCCATCCATCTATAAAACAGCACAAGTGATTCAGCTGGGGATGAGAAGTGTTTTGCTTTGTGTTGGTCGTGTTGAGTTATACTGTGAAATATCTGATCCCTGAATACAGAGCAGAAACAGTCTGTTGATTACTCAACTTCATTATATTTAGATATATTTGATTTGCTGGCTCCATCTTATCAAAAACAGTGGTTAGTTGCAGTCTTACCATAATATGAAAGTACATACTGTCTGGGATTTAGGGAAATAAATATTATGACACTGTCATGTTATATTTTCATATCAACAGTGGTAGTGATTTTATTTGCTGTCCACATGAGTTTTATTACAGATTGACTTTATGGGGGGACAGCATGTAATCCACATTGCATCGTTACGTTTAGATACGGACACAAAATATGCTCTGGATATGTATGTGATCAAGCTGACAGCAGTTAATGTGAGATTACACTATACACTGTGATGATTTGTGATCTATTCAAACATTTATTGTATTTAATTACTTACATTGTTTCTTGCTTAGCGATCTTTGTCTACTCTGTTCAACACTGTTCTTCAATCTTTTCAGTCAGAACTGTCTGCTTAAAGACATTCTTTATTTGCTGTTAAACATAAGCAGCCAAGAGTTTTTCACACTCTTAGATTTTGATTTGCCTGAAGGACTGAAGCCATCTGAGAGCATAGTCACATTGCAAATGATGTCTTTGTTTTCAGCTTTTCATAATTTGACATTGGCCTCATCATGCATCAGATGGGAACATTAAATAATAGTTGACAGGTTTGATTGCTCAGTTTCACCAAGAGATACATGTTGTCCAAGTGAAAATTCAGCAGTTATTTCATGGCGTGAATGTGTCGATAAAGATATCGAAGATAAGAAATAGACTTAGACAGTTAGCTGGCTTAAAGTCCAGTAAGGAAAGGACAAATGAAACTATTGCACATGGTCCTCCTCTTAAGAGTCAAAAATATTACCTGAGGCATAAACAAAATCCCTGTTTTTGAATGATGTCATATTTTTTGACCTCTGAGTAAACTTGTTTTATCTGTGATAAATGTTGATCACATACAGTTATCTGCTGTGTGTAGTACGTCAAGCTTTTAGAGTGGTTGATAAGAGAAGTAAAGCATTATATACTGTCTATACATGTGAGTGCAATCTGCAAGGATTCATTCAAGCGACGGCTTAATAAATTCAACTGGTCACAATGTTGTTCTTGATTTGTTTTCTTTTACATTTTAATTGAAATTCAAATATGAGACAGTAGGGGGATTTGTAGTGTGAAAATAATTACATTTTAAAATAAATAAAACACGAACTATGTGGACATTATCTGGAATGTGATTATCTGTAATAGCCCTTCACTTTCTGAGGATGGCACATTACTGTTTTGTGACGGGACACGGC